ACTTGGAAATTACTGAGTTTGAAAAGTAAATATTGGTAGAAAAAATGAGAATAATCCCAGCTATTTTCTAGAAAATAAAAACTGAAAAATTTGAGTTTGAAAAGTCAAAATGTTGCTAGAAAAAAATGAAAATAGATTAATTTCAGATTTTTGTTATAGAAAAAATCTGAAATTTCCAATTTTCAAAACTCAGAAACTTGTTAGAAGAAACTCAGAAATTTTGAAATTCAGAAAATACATCAAAAATTTGCACATTTTCAAACTCAGAATTTTCTAGAAAATTAATCTCAAAATTTAGTTTTTTTTTCTATCAAGCTAAATTTCCACATATTTTCAGATTTTGTTGATTTTGTTCACAGATGTTCAGATTTAGTTAAAATCTGAACATTTCAGTTGTTTTTGCCGAAACCTCCAAACAGGTACAGATCAAAGGAAACTTTCAGTGTTATTCAGATTTTTGTTTTTATTCTGATGATGATTTTTTGTATTTGTTCAACTTTTGCACTAATGACTTCCAGTAGTTTAGACATTATTTCCCCAAATTAAAAAATTAAAAATCACGATTTGAATGAGAACAAATCCTGGAAAACGAGCGAAACCCGTCATCCAGCTGCTCTTCTTCTTCTGCGGTTTCTGAAACTGTTGCACTGAGGAGGAAAACGCGGCGCTGCAGCATGTATGCACTTATATTTTTATGTATGTATGTAAACAGTTTGTTTATCTCTAGTCCTGTATTACGGCTTCAGATTGGATTTTGCTGTTTTGGGAGGAGAAATCGCGCTGTGCTTCTTTGTGAGCATCTAAGGTACTTTTAAAACCGTGTACAGTTACAGAATGTTATGGAGAAAAACTTCGGTTCCTGCTTTTGGTTTGTTTTTGTAATACATCTGGTACTGATTAATCAGTGGGACTTTTAGAAAAAAAGGTGCTGAAACAGATTCACTTCCTGTTTCCTGTGTATTTGGAGCATTTTTTTCTTCATCATCCTCATCAGCCTTTCACAACCTTCCAAGTGCCTTCAAAGAGCCAGTATTCTGCATTTTGTTGAATGTTTCTCTGCTGGTGTTTTTACATTTCTAAGGATTTTTGTACAATAACTACTTTGATTTTGTCACTGCCGATGTGTTTTTTTACAATGTTTTTGCATAAGAAATGAATAAATTCAAAAGCACATTCTCTTCCTGGGCTTTAATCAGACAGAAGGAAGCAGAGAATCAGAAGTGGACGTAGGAGATCTGCACGTCTCCGTCGATCTCCAGTTTGTCGATTTCGCTGAAGTTCGTTCGGTGGAAGAAGTCAAACAGGTGCTGCCCGTTCACAAACACCTTAAACCTCTGGTTGCCGCAGCGGATCGACATCTGGAAACACAAAACCCGTCAGAAAGACGCACCAGAATGTGGAACCGGACCCGGTCAGGAAGTGAGGCTCACGTCGAAGTACTGTCCCTCGGCGAAGGGCGACCCGCTGAGCTGCCGCTCCTCGCTGCCCCACTGCCCTCCGGTCTGGGCGTTTCGCACCACGACGCCCTCCTGCACTCTGGGGTTCATGTGGATGGCGACGTCCCGGGTTCTGCTCACCACCAGGTTGAAGCCCATCCTGGGACACCGAGGTTCTGTCAGGACTCGGTTATGGGAGGGATCTGAGCAGCCGGGCGGCCGAGAACAAACCTTTGGGCCCCGTGGGGGACGGAGCCCCGGATGATGACGGTCCTCTTGGGGAGCATCCCTCCTGGGATCCAGGTGGAGAACGGCACCGGCTGGGAGGGAAGCAGGTTACTGGGAGACCAGGACGGGGCCGGCCCAGGACACATGCTGGGGGCCCCCAGACCACCAGAGGGCCCCCAGAGAGCCCCGAGACACACACTGTGGGCCCCCACAGGGCCCAGAGAGGGCCACCAGAGAGGCCCCAGACACACACTGTGGGCCCCCACAGGGCCCAGAGACACACACTGTGGGCCCCCACAGGGCCCAGAGAGGCCCAGACCGCCAGAGGGCCCCCAGACCGCCAGAGGGCCCCCAGACCGCCAGAGGGCCCCCAGACCACCAGAGGGCCCCCAGAGAGCCCCGAGACACACACTGTGGGCCCCCACAGGGCCCAGAGAGGGCCACCAGAGAGGCCCCAAACACACACTGGGGGCCCCCACAGGGCCCAGAGA